ATATAGCCAGTAATTTCTGGTGACAAGCTGACTTTTCTCTTTGACACTTGCCCTTTTTATACTCCAGCAGAGACACTGTCTGGCTTTAGCACATTCATGCTGCCAGAGATGGAAAAGTGATTTCTTCTGGATCAGGAAAGGTTATAGTCTTCCTGCCCAAGATTAAAAATAACTGTCCAGAGTAAGAAGATAACTTCCAGCAAAGAAAACTTCTTTATTATTATTTTTTTTTTAACCTAAATTCCCATGATATATAATGTCCTAACTGAACTGGAGAACTACAGCCATCAGAGCCAATAATGCTCACATTATGCAGCTCTTCACATTCCTGCAGTCTTACTTTGGCAGAGTTATCTGCTTTGGAGGCTCATAAATCCAGAATTTTAGCAATCTGAAACTCAGTTCAGAGCAGAACATTTCAGTAACATCTTGCCACCCTCATAGTTTTCAGATCTATAACCTCAGAACATTTGATACTCAGCCATTCACAGAGAGCGAATCTGGTACAAAAATGCATTAACAGAAAGACCATTCAGACCATTAACATCGATAGTATTCTCTTTTTTGTTATTAAATATTACCTTCCTAATTACATTCTGCGAGTTGCAGGAAGGAAATGCAGATACTTTCTTCATTCTTATCCATTGCTCCCACTTTGCAATGGTAAAGCAGATCTTTGAATGGTCTCAGGGTTTATTCCACAATTTAATGTGGAATTTCAAATAATCTAACAGATGGCATTGTAATTGTTTTTACTTCCCCACAGAATGAAAATGAACAAACACTTGACATTTCCAATATGTCTTCATCTACTGCAAGAATTTTTAGAAGCCCTGAAAGAGTGTTATCTGCTTTGCCTTAGATGGACAGGATTGTTAGATGTGTCCTCGCTATCTGCTCTCCTACATTAGCAACACAACTGTGTGGAACAGAAATGTAAAACCACAGAAACACCGTGCTTGCATTTTGCACCAGGAGCTGTGTCCAGAAGGAAGCACAAACATGCAATGCTACTGCTAGTTCTGCAGAAGAGTGGAGTGTTTTCATTAGAGAAATTAGCTGGAGCTGCTGAAGTGCTCAGAAATCAGATCACATTTACAAACCTACAGCAGATGCATCAGTTGGCAAAAGGTTCCTGCAGTCAGTAATTTGCCATTCATCAGGGATTGCCTCTTCAATCTGTGATCCAAGCCAGGGTGCAGATGACACACAAGGATAAATTTAGACACGGCTGAAAACAGTTATTTTGATTAAGTCTCTAGCCAATGACAGTTAGATTCTGCCTGTTCCTCCCCTTCACCCTCACTCACCTCCTCCAGTAAAGGAAGCAGAGATTGTGCTAGTAGAACTTGTCTGCATTTTGCATGTAGTGGATGTTTTGATACAGTTATCACTGTTTTAGAGTCTGTTCAACAGAGAAGGGAACGGCTTTTGATTGAATGAGATACCTTGCTTCAGTGTTAGCATCAGTTTAGTTAGTACTGGGAAAGGTGCTAAGAGGGAAACATCTATGTTTTAACCTGTGAAAGAGAGACTATCTTAAAAATGAAGTAAAATTGTCTTCTCCCTGATCTCTCCTTCCAATGGGAGAAACCCTCAGGCTGGGTGAGCCGATTCTGGCTGGGACATACTTGCTGCTTTCTTGAGTCCATGTGGTGAAATCAACTTTCTAAATGTGTGATGTAGCGTGGTACCCAAGCAACAATTGGTAGCTGCTTTCACTTGTTATCAGACTCAAACTTTGCTGGACACCAGCAGAAAAGTTGTCACCTGGCCCCTCCAGCCTCTAACAGTTTTGATGTTTCCCAGTCGTAGGAACAGGAGCTGTTTGATCCAGTACACAGGTGTGGTGAAAGCAGTGCCAACGAGGCTCTTAAAACCACCAGCAAAAGCATCACTTAATACACTTCAGCTATTTTATTGGAAACAGGGTGATGTTAATCCTGGCTGACAAACTTGTAACTGCTAAACACCAGCTTGCTGTGATCATAAGCAGCTCTGTTTTTTCAAAAGAAATAATAATATGGAGGTGAAATGCTACTTTTTAAATGATTGTACAGATGCCTTAACACTGGGGGGGGGGGGGGGGGGTATGTACGAACAGTAGCTTCCTTTGGGGCTGTGCCTCTGTGTGTGTAACTTAAACCCTGCTGTAGCTGAAGGATAGAATTTGTGGGTATCCTTAAATTGTCTTGCAGTTCTTTTCCCCTCATTTCTTTTTTTTTGGTGTGGATTTCAGCAGAGGTTATTCCTTGGCTCCTTAATGCAGTTACTGCTGCTTACACTGGTATTATATTAGAGCAGAGGAAGACAGGCAGAACTGGGGGTGGAAAACAGAGATGAAGGGCTAGAGCTGCAATCTGTAAAGTATAATTGTAAAATAAAATAGCAAACAGTTTGGAAAGAGGAAATTTTATCTTATTTACTCTGTGGTAATTGTTGGCACTTGATTACAATCAGCCACAAGCCTGTGTATGATTGATATCACACTAGCCAGAGCAACCCAAAATAGCCCAACATTTGAGTAATTTTAGTCTTTTCATAATTTAATGCTGTCACAAATAAAAGCCAGTGTAGCATGTAAGCAAATCAAACTCTCTTCATAGGTAGACTAGGGTAGATTGGACAATGCTGTGGGAAGGCATACTTGGAAAGCACTGAATGTGTCTTACCTAGAATTATCTTCTTTCTTGCCCATTAACCTTAATATTTCTGAAATTAGTTAAGTAGTTCTATGCCTAGGTGCTTGTTGGGGTAAGGAGGCTGACGGAGGAGAGGGAAGAACCAACATTAGTTAAAATCTCACTCATTCTCAGAAAGAACCTTGATGAGCAAAATTCTTAGCTGGGCTTTGTCAGAAGCTGGTTGAGCCCTTCCCTGCTGCTGGGCCAAGCAAACTTGAAATGAGTTGGAAATTTCCTGCTGAAGCATCTGTAGATACTGGTTTAATCTTTAGCTCTTGAGTTCCCTCCTATCATTGATCCCCACAGCCTTGTTGAGAGAAGAAAAAAGAATCCTACCACCAGTACAGGATACAAAGGAGGTAATCTTTTCCTGAAATTCTCCAAGTTTCTTTTAAGGCCTCTTCCTAAGGGAATTACACTGGTAGGCTCAAAGCCTTGATGAATTCAGTGAGCTCCCAGGACTACAGTAACATGAGTAATACACATTGCAGCAGCCAAGTATATGTGTAACTCTTTTTCCTTTATTACTAATTGCAGCTTTATTTGGTCCTTGCAGGCAGTGCTGTGCCTGTGGCAGGGGTTTCTGCGCCAAAACACTGGATGACACTGTAGAACTGCTTTTGGCTTTTTAGGAGTATCTTTTGCAAACCATTTTCGGGAATGACCTGCTTAGAGGACAGGCAGAGAACTACAACCTACATGAACCTGTCAAGTGGATTAGTCATTAAACACCTTTGTGGATGTTTGAATTCAGAATTAAAGTGGCTTTAAGTGGATTTAGCTTCCAAAGTAAATTCAGGTAAATCAAATGAAGGTTAATTCAGTGTAAAGGTGTGGGCAGACATCCTCATTAAGGGCTATGTGGAACAACTGAGAACATAAATGCTTAGCTGCTCTTCACCACACTTCTGCTCCCTTTGTGCTCCTTTAGTGTTTCACAGCTCGGCTCACCAAATGGGGTGCTTGCCAGTCTCACACTATGGTAGGTTATTTTGGATGAATTTTGCTCTGAATACTTTAATGAGCAGTTTAGTCTGGTTGATTGAATTGACATTTGCAGGGATTGCAGCTGTGTTGCACTTAGCTGACTGCAATGGAGAGTGTGGCCCTCAGCTGATGCTGTTAACAAGTAACCCTGGAAAAGTCAACCCCGTGAACAGCTGTTTGCAAAAGGAGTGTGTGTCCATGCCTGTAGAATACATGTACTCAGGATGCCTGTGGGGCCTTGAGGGTATTTATTGAAGGATCAACTTAAGAAGGATGTGGAGCTGTTGGAGTCACTCCAGCAGAGGCCATGGAGATGCTGCGAGGGCTGGAGCAGCTCTGCTCTGGAGACAGGCTGAGAGAGCTGGGCTTGTTCAACCTGGAGAGCCTCAGCCTGTGAGGGTGCTGAGGGCTGGCACAGGTTGCCCAGAGAAGCTGTGGCTGCCCCATCCCTGGCAGTGTTCAAGGCCAGGTTGGATGGGGCTTGGAGCAACCTGGTCTAGTGGAAGGTGACCCTGCCCATGGCAGGGGATTGGAAGTGGATGAGCTTTAAGGTCCCCTCCCACCCAAACCAGCCTGTGATTCTATGATATGATTCTATGATCGTAGCTGTTGAGAAGCAATACACTTGTACATACTGGAAAATGTGATTTTAAGGTCCAGGTTCTGAATAAAAGAACTGTCAGGGGCAGCACATTGACTATAGATGGGCATAACAAGCCAGTAATTACAGCTGCAGCTCCAGCATCACTGGGAGAACAAAAAATATCCCATAAACAATAACCCCATGGGTCAAGCTTGGGGTTGTTTCTTAAAGAATAGGACTCTAAAAGGAGGGAGAGTTTGCATCCTAAATAACTACATATCAATACTAAAGAAAGGAGAAGAGTCAGCTTAAATGTACCATTGTCTATTGAAATGAGGTTTGTTAAATAAAGCAGAAAACAATGAAAGTTTTGACACAGATTATTTTGAAGGCATTTCAGTGATCTTAAAAAAAAAAAAAAGAAAAAAGAAAAAACCATGAATCCTAAAGTATACAGATAAAACCTGACCAGGCTATTTCCAGCTGTGACCATGCGCTGTTCCATTCACCAAGCAGTGTTTGACTAAATGAAGTCCCGGGTGACAGCTCTTCAAGAAGAACTGAAGTGCTCAGAAAGGTGTCACTGATATAATGACCTAGATTTTATGGCTTGTGCTTCCTCTTTGATAAATGCTTGCTAGGTATTAATTGCCCCTCTCTGTTGGCAATGAATGTAATTCATTCCTGATGATGAATATAGTTCCAGTAATTCGAATGACTTCCATTTTCATAATATTTTTTGACAGGAAGCCTCTTACTTGCCAGCTATTGACACATTGCCTAGTCCACACTATGAAAAATGAGGTGCTGCTTCTGACCTTTTGGCTGTCAAGTTGTGGCCAAGTAGCTACAGATCAGCACAGGGAGCAGGGGCCTGCTGTGCTGCTGAGAGCAGCCATCATCCAGGCTCTTGTGACACGGCTGCTCCCTCTGGTGAGTACCTGTGGTGGAAGTACACAAAAGATTCTGCACGATTAAGGCTGTATTTTGCCCATATATATTCTGATGAATATATAATAATTCTTGAAATCTCCTTCTTCCAACAGCTGCCAAACAGTGGCTGAGAAAAGGGGAAATTATGTTCTAACTCACTTTAAATTCAGTAAATGAGTCTTGCTGAAGTCAGGGGGGCTGGATTGTGCCTGTAGTTCATAAAGAACAGGGCACAAAAAGTAAAACATTGCTGGGCCAGACTCACAGTGGTCAGAAGGGATTACTGAAGTAGAGGGGTGTGGAAGTGCTATACCTCGTCCTTGGAACAAGAAGCAGATGCACACAAGTGCCTATTTCTTACCACTTGTTCTGGTTAAGAATAGATCCTTTCTGACAGTCAAGAGGTCTGTAAAAAAGTGGTGGTCTGTTTCCCCTTAATTGTCTTTTGGATGACATATTTTTCTCCTGTAAAGGAACCACCTATTCCTCACTCTTCCCATCCACCCCATATTAGTCTTTTCCCCTAGGAAGAGCAGGGTATGTGTATTTCTCCTGCACGTTGGCCTCATTCTTTTTCCCTGGTTAAAGACCTTGGAATACCAATCCCAACCTGTGTACTCCAGGTAGGTTTCACCCTGAGCAGACAAGGCTTTTAAATCACTTAAACTCCACTTAAACAGTATTAATTGTTAAGGATGCTCTCACTTCCATCAAAACATTGCTAACATTCTTTTATGTTAGTTCAGTGCTAATGAAAATCATCACTTCAGCAGCACCAGAGTCTGAATCTTCCATTCAGGAACTAGTCAGCTCATGACCAGCTGCAGTGTGAGTTGTCTTCCCTAGTATTATTCCCATTTAAACCTGAGCTCTGACTTGTAGCAGCTTTTTCCAAGGGTATCTCATCTTCCAGGGCTCAGCGTCACTCTACTAAGACTACAGGGTCAAATGTTGTAATGGACTTTGTGCCCAGGAGAAACCAGGCTAAACTCCACTGATTTTTTTTCAGAGAGGTTCTCAAAGAGCTGTTGGGTAGCAATGAAAAAGTCTTTAATTGAAAGAAGTGGAAAGCTTGTGGCATATTTATCCCAGATTCTCATCTGGTCACAATTCATGCCCCTCCACTGATTCACTGGCCTCCAGGCTTGTGTAAATCAGCATATGTATTGATTTCATTGGAGATGTGCTGATATCTATCAGTAGAGAGCATGACTCTCCCGATGGGACCATTCCCCAGTGGTGGAACTACTGTGGGATTTCCTGTGTGAAATCAGTGTTCAAAGTAGTCAAGGACTTGGTAGTGCTATTTTGAGTCGTACAGCTGACCTATGCAGCAGTTTGAGTATCCAATCTGGCCCTATGGGGAGAACATATTTCTGAAGGCATTTATCTCGCTGTAAATAGTTTTGGTTTATATATACAGTAAATAGCAGAGCTGTTAATCCATCATGACCATAGTGATGGTATAGACCATGAGAACAAGACATAGTGGTTTCTGTATTCACCAGAACCCAAGGAAGGAATTGCATTCTTGTAATTCAAACATACCATCTCTGCCTCACACGGTGGCTGCTACTCCTTTCTCATGGCTTTGCCAGTTGCCTTAGTCTGGCATTCCCATAGCCTTCTGCCCTCTTTCACCTGCTCCCCAGGTTTCAGGATGCTTTGCAGTACCACAGTGCCTTCCCAGACTTTTTCAAGTATCATTTCTGCCTCTCTTCTACCCAGTAATAAATTTTCTCATGTATTCTCTATGGTAAAGCTCATTATGTTTCAGCCTTATGAGCCAAACAGTGGTCTGTCCTGCTCAAACCCTATCTCTGGAACGAAAGTGATATTCATGATAAAAGATGTCCTGTGATCATTTTGGGGTTGGCAGAAGTTTCTTTTTACCCTTATTGTTTTGGGTCTATATTGGAAAATGGAATGTTTGCCTCCCACACACACCTCAGTCTAAGAGGTGTATTTGCTGGAGAGGGACAGACAGGGTTTTGGCTATTAGTGTTCACTAAAAGGGAAGACCAAGGCTTATTCAGGAAGCCTGTACCAGCTCCCCAGAATAGTATAACCACTTAGCATTGATTTTTGAACCGAGATTGGCTCAGTCTCATTACCATTAATAAAGGCAGCACATGCTGCCACTGTGACAAGAACATGAAGTGCAGCGTTGACAGGGACTGTTCCCATTTCTTGCTGGAACAGAGAACTAGTGCAAATTCTGACTTTCACATAGCGAAACTGGTGGAAGCCAGAGTTTGCAAGTCCACATTGACAAAATAAATCCTATGATATATCAAACCCTACATGTTATTCCTATTTAATTTGGACTTTATTGATTTTCTTACGGCTAAATCACAGTTAATCCATGAATTGAACATGAGTGCTCCTTGTATTATTGTACATTATGGGGGTCTACTCAAAAGCAGCAGAGCAAGATAAAGGGTTATTTTGAGTTTCTAAATCCAGCCATCTAAAAATGAAATTATGTTCAAATGGATTTACAGGTGCCTTCTGTGAAAATGGAAGATGGACTCAAGGCTCTGTTTGAGGTGGTAGGGCTGCAGCAGGCCTGGGGAGAGGGTGGGTTGGCCCTACATACTTGTCTAACAGCAGCAGATGAGTCTTCAGCCCAGAACAGCACTGAGACCCAGAAGATAAAAGTGAGTAGCAGTGTTTACACTTGCTAGTCATGCACAGCAGCCGCAGCCAGTGACCACAGGTTTTCACTAAGGCCCAGGCTTGGCTATTGGCTTGGCCAATTCAAGTTCCAATTTCAGTGAGCCAGTACAGAGCATGAGTGCTGCTCTAAATTAGACTGAGGGGAGAGCTCAGTACTGTGGGAGCTGAATGATTGCTTCCAGCTGATTGCCAACTCAAGCTGTCCTCAGTTATGCTGAATTTAGATTTAGCGCAGATGAGAAGCCAGCTCTCTGTGGTATGGGCTTTTTGTCTCTACTGCTCATTAGCTGGTAAGGCACTTTTGGAGGCTATAACCCCACAGTTTAGAAATTTAACTGGATTCAGAGGAGGTATATCTTTGGCATGTGTTATAGGTTTTCTTTTTAACTCTTCTATTTTAACTATGTGAAGTTCCAGAGGGAATATTGTCTTGCTGTTTGGCTCCCAGGAGTCACGGCCCAGAGGCAGGACCTTAGACTCTGTTCCCTCAGCTCTGGTAGACTGCAGTCTGTGCTGTGTAATAGAATGCCAGTCTGAGAGGTGTAGCACACAACTGATAATCCAGCACATACAGTTGTAATGAAGGGGATGATATGAACTCATATCCTGAAAACAGCAGAGCTGTGAAATAGCAGCCCTGGGTTCTAGTTTGTTGGTTCTGTCATTTCACAGAGCAAATGTCTTTTTTTTGGAGACAGTTTTTTAGGTATTATTGCTACTGCTTCCTGCTATAAATGCCTATCCTACCTATGCAGAATAGCTGACTTGCTGGAAAATGTATGCAGCTACATTTGGAGAGCAGCTATCCTTGTGTACCCCAGATCCCCAGATCTCCTGTGGGTCATTTGCTTGAATAACTATACTGTGACTGAATAACCTCTGAGGTGCTGGCCCTGCACTCTGTTGAGGCTGGTGAGTTTCTCTCAGGTGGCTCAAAATAACACTTGTGGCTTTAGTGAGCTGGTAGATTTTTCTACCCTATTTTTGCTTGCTTCACTCCTGATAATGTTAGCAGGAGTGTGGCAATAGATGTGTTCGTTCTCCACACTTCCTCTTGCTGAGAAGACACAATAGCAGGTGGTCTTAGGGGGGCCTAGATATCTGAGTCGTACCTGCTGGACACACCATGTGAAGTTTAAATGGAGGAAGAGGTGTAAAGATGGTTTAAAAACGTCCTTATGCTTCCCCTACTTGGCTGCAGCAAACATCTTTTGCTTGCAGCTGCCTGCCTGTGAGCAGTAAAGATTACATTGCCCATAATGTATCATAAAGGCTGGAGTATGACAGCTGTGGCTCCAGTGCTCCTGCAAGGAAATGATTGATGCTGGCAACAAATGTCATGATTAACACACTACCAAAAATCCCAACCCCAAAACAGTAAGCAACCTTGCCATTAGTGTTTGAGGACTTGGCAGCAGGAGCAGCAGGGCTAATGATACTAAGGATGAAGAACAGGAGTAAACCCTCAGACAAGAGCTTAATTCTGATTTCTGTGTAAAGTAACCGAATTCAAGATGTTTGCTGTGTGGAGCAAAGAAAATGGAGGAGGAGAGACTGACCTGCCTTCTGTCCGTGTGCCTTGTTGCTCTCTGGTGGTTTCAGCTGAGGTGTTGGCCATATCAAAATTATTGAGCACTGACTATGCTCAAAATACATACCCAGTGTTATGCAATTAATGAATGAACTTTTGAAGCTGTGGGCTCGGGATGCTCTGAACATTTGTTTGGAGCAGGGATGTGTTGTATCACAGGTTGGTGGAACAAGCTGTACAGAGCTTCCAGTCCATGTATAAATTGCAAATGCTATTCTGGTGCCTCATTTGCGGTTCCTGATACTGCTTGAGTTCAGCTAGTATGTACAGGAGTGGACATCCAAGGCATTCGGTCAGTGTTCCTCAAACTAGGACTGTGTGTAACTGAGGTTTCCTCTCATTAGAGGCTCTACTGTAGCAATTGCTTTTGACAGTTTTGCTTTCCTAAGGCATTTGTAAAGCTGCTACTTTCCCTAGCAGAGATTAAGCTTAACACAAGTCTTTGAGAAATTCAGCTGCAGCAGACACCAGGGAAGCAACAGCAAGTAGTCCTGTCTCCCCATTCCTCCCTGGGCAGTTTCAACTATTGCTGGAGAAAAATTGTTGGTGATTGATTTTATTCTTCACACTTAAGTCTTCAGGCTCTTGTTGTACTGTTATCATAGAGGTTTTTAACAATTGAATCTGGTAACAAAATTCTGTTGTGGCAGATTCTTGTTTCAGTTGTCTCCTAGGGGTGTGAAGAGCATCACTTACCATGGTTTACCTTCAAAATAGGGCCCGGTTTCCAGGTGGTATTGTTGTATCTCTTTGCTATAAGAAAGTAGGACAATCTTAGTTAGTCTTTTTTTTGGATTCTATAAAAGAAGCCATACCAAGTAGTGTAAATGTTAACCAGAAGTGTTATGACAAATGGATATTTTAATGTACTCAATATGTAGAGTCCAGAGTGTATTATTCAGTGCCAAAGGTGGGTATGTATAAGACTACACAAACTATTAGGTCCAATTCATGCCTGCTTGATGCTAACATAGAAATGTCTGTCTTTGTGTATCTGTACTCATATCTTGTAATAGCAGAGTAACAGTTGGTCATGGATTTTCTTCACATTATTATATGACTGTGATTTTTGCAGCAGACATTGTATTGCTGGTCTAAGAGCCTAAGGCCCTATCAGTATCAACAAGGCAAGGTTTGCCTTTCCCCAGCTTGTCCCCTGTTAATTCCTGACCCTACTGTGATTGAACATGCTGAATGCATTTGTTACTTTTTGGCTTTGATGTTATTTGATGTTGGCTTGTTGCCTGCTGTAGAGTCACACTCTAATGCTGGGGTACAGTTCATCACCAAGAACAGGACCAGGGCAGCTGCAGGTGTCATGGCACTTCAGGTTGTTGCTAAGATATTTTTCTTGGTTTAGTTTGCTTGGGTCCCCCCTCGCCCCAAGTTGTTATTAACTGGAGCTGAGCTGTATTCCAGACCTCTAAGCCATCAACTTTTTATTTACTGGACACTTCAGTGTCATCTGTGTGTCTTTTATTGTTTGTCACATTTTATTTCTCTCTCCCAAGGTCTAATAGTTATGAATACAAATATAATAATGGTTTCTCAAGGCAAAAGCTCCTGTTCCTACCAGATCAATAAGACTTATTCAAGTAGGAAGGCATCTATCCCTGTATCTAGTGGTTTTGCTATGTTTCTTCCCATCTCTGTCAGGTTTTTGTGGTTTAGTCTGGGTTGTTTTATTTCTGTCCTCCAAACAACCAGTAGAAGCGAAGCAAATTCAAACCTCCTTGCATGGTTTAGGTTCTTGACTTACTGTCAGAACAAATGCTCGTACAGTCCCCTCTTGTAACTCTTGCATGCTGACAGACAAGCTGCAGTTACAGCCTGTCTGATGGGAATTAGATTTGTACAGAGTATGCTTTCTAAGAATCTACTTAGCATTCCCAATTAGGCACACCAGCACCCTGCAGAGCAGCATGGTTCTTGTCTGTATGATTCAATCACACAATGATTCTGTGGTGGCTCAGAATCATAGAATCCCAGACGGGTTTGGGTTGGAAATGACCTTAAAGCTCATCCAGTTCCAACCCCATGCCACAGGCAGGGACACCTTCTGTGATCTCTCACAATCTCTTTCATTAGATATGGAGAGCTTCGAGTCCTTTCCAGGCTTGAGCTCCACTTTCTAGGTGTGATAATACCTGTTGCAGAAAAGATACTTTGCATGGCTGTGATTCTGTCAGTTTCTAATTGGGTCTCATTGAGGTCACCAGTTTTGTTGTGTGAAAGTCCTACTAATTAAGAACCGATCTGGAAGAAAAAGGGACTCAGAGGGCAAGTTTGGTGATGGGAAACTGTAATATAACAGTGCAGTGCAATGTTAATGTAACAGTATTTATATTAGTCTTAATCTTAAAAAAAAAATCTTGAAATTAATAAGGCTTTTTATTTATATCCTTATGAAGCCCTTTACAAATTAATGTCTCATTGTATTGGGCTGGTTTATGGTCCTGTTTATGGCATTTCCTTCCTCTTTAGGTGTGGTATGTAATGTGCTTTGGAGTAATATTTGTGGGCTGACCAGTATTGTGAGCCAGCTATTTTACACCAGCATCTTGCAACAAGGTGAATACTGCTATTAACTCAACAGTCACCGTCTGTGGTGGAGCGTTATAGCTGAGCAGTCTGAGTGCGTCGAGTGCTCTGGAGGAAGGGCAGTGCTGCTGATCTCCTTGCACTCACTAAGAGACGCTTTCTTTGAGTCAGGTCTATGTGAAGGCATGTCCCCTCTCTATGGTGTGAGCCCTTCCGCACAGTTGATGGCTGTTGCACACAGCATCTGCTCTCCAGCTCCATCTGCTGGGCCAGGAGCCCCAACAGTGGCAGGACCTTCAGTTTTGCCCTTGGGCTTGGGAGTAGAGACCTTATGGGGTGATAAATAGGACCCAGGATCATGGAAAGAGCGTGCTTTCTGTGAGTGAAGGAACAGGTCTAGAGTTCGGGTTATGTGATATGATGCTTTGAGAAGCTAATCTAGGGCTTTGCTTTGCAGAATCTGAAGTGCAGATGTGTGAAGTGTGAGGCAGAGCTGTCTGCAGACAGAGAAAGCTGCTACAGGTGCATGGTATGGGACAGAAAGTTCCCGAGACCGTGATCAGTGCTTTGTAACTATTGATTCTTTGCAGACTAAAAATGATCTACAAGAAACATTCATTTTTTACCAGAAGATTTCTTCATTTCTAGCCTGTATGTGGCTTCCAGGTGTTACCTGGTAGAGGGCAGAACTGGCTGATTACTTCTAAAACCAGCTGTGTCCTCTTCCTGCAATTCCCTCTGTCCTGCTCAGTCCTGTCACTGGTATTAATCCTGATCCTCAGGTACTGTATGGAAATGCTTGGACCTCTGGCAATTATTTTTTTCCCTCAATAGGTCCAGTAAAAGTTGTTCT